TAGGGACGCTGAGCCCCCACTGGCGGTGATTTCGCTAACGGGGAGAAGGAAGCTGGGGTCTGCCCGAGTTTGCAGTAACGCTGCGCTACGTCCAACCTTCTACCTGGCAGCTTCAAAAGACCCTTCCGTGGCCACGTGGTGCCAGGGTCTAGTGGTGGCCCTGGCACTGCGAAGTGAACTGTTGGAAATGATGATCCGAAAGGTCTTCTCCAGCCTAAAGGGTTCTGTGGTTCCAGTTAACGACACAAGAAAGCAGCAATTAGTGCTGAAGGCTGCGCAGCAGCTCAGAGGAGCTGCTGGAGAGCGGGATTTCATTACCCAGCCCGTCTTCTCCCAGGGAGATTTTGTTACTCAGGCTTGGAAAAATTTCTGTGGATGAAGCGTGAAGCTCCCTGTGCCGCTTTGCTGTGGGTTCGTTGACGTTTTCCCAAGGATCGGCTCCCTGCCTTCGGCCCACGGGGGGCAGGAAGGGGGGTGCTGCCATCCCTGAGGTGTCTGTGCTCACCTCCAGCCCTTCCCACCGAGGAGACCCTTGTTTGAAATGTCCAAGTTTCTTTTTATTAACCTGAGTGTAACAAATATGACATGTACACGGTATAAAAATGAACGTAGAGTGTGACAGGTACAACACGGATACATGAACTATACAAAGACCGGGTCATTGAATGAGAATAATATATTAAGCATTTCGTTGCTCGCAAAAAAGCACGTTTCGATTGTAAAAATTCGTATCCTGTTCCACTGAAATTATACAAAGTACATTCAATACCGAAAAGGGACTCAAGGGAGCGGGAGCAGGGCACGGCCTGGCCGCGTAGTGTTACCTGGGGCTGTACAAAACGGATCCAGACGCTTTCTCTGGGATGACTTGTAAGAACTTAGCAATTAAATTAAGAAGTACAAAGTGTTTCAGGGAGGGAACTCTTCTCTTAAAAGCATGTGGAACATGCACTTTCGGTAGGACCGGCAGGCTCCGGCGACATGCAGAGGGCGCAGCCCCTACGCGGGCTCCGAGTTGATGGGCGGCAGGTTTTGGTGCTTGAAGTACTGCACGACTTGCTGGGGCAGCTCGGCCAGCACGGCTTTGGCCAGCGTCTCCTTGGGGGCCTGCGGGCGAAAAGGGAACAAACGCCGGCGTGAGTGGGGCTGGACAGGACCGCGGTCACAACCTCAGGCTGTGGCTTTTCATTTCACACCCTCCCTGGAGCCTGCTGGCAGCCAGGACATCGTACGCTTGGGATTATGGAATTTATACCACATTTTTCCTCCCAGGAGATAATTCCCTGGTAGGGAGAACTAAAGAATCCTGCGTAGGTTAGAAAAACCAGGTATTGAGTGAAAGGGAAAGATGCAGAGCAGTTGCAAATGAAAAGAAATAAAGGGGGATGATAAGCACAGGCTGAGTTTTCCGCATCCTCGGGCAACCCTCGCAGTGAGAGACCACGACAAGGGATGCGAGCGCAGCAGCAGCCCAGCTTGCTGTGGAACCTGCTCTAATTAATTGAGGACTTTTTTTGGCTCCCACCTGCCTGAAAACAACAAGGAGTCGGGCAGAGGGGATGCTCAGCTGGAGCACGGCCCGCGCCAGAGCGTCGCCTCCTGCCCCTGTCTGTCATCCCAAATTTCTGGCTGCTTCCCCCCCTCCCTCCCGCCGACCACACTCACGTTGCGAAAATCCCGGAAGGGCACGAACTGGACGATGTCGCGCACGGCCTCCTCGCCCGTGTAGGAGCGCAGCACGCGGCTGTCGCCGTCCAGGAACTCCATGGCGGCGAAGTCGGCGTTGCCCCCGCCGACGATGATGATGGACATGGGCAGCTTGGACGCCTGCACCACGGCGTGTCGCGTCTCATCCATGTCGCTGATCACGCCGTCCGTGATGATGAGAAGGATGAAGTATTGCTGCGGAGGAGGAGAGGAGGAGGAAGGTCAGACCCTGCCGGGGGTGCGAGCGGCTGGGATTTGGGAAAGCGAGGTTCACCTCTTCCTGGGAGAGCAGCACCCGGAAATCTCAGGTGCTCCCACTCCCCGGCTTTTTGAAAGATCGACACCAAACGACAACATTTTACTGATTTACTGACTTGTTACACTTAACGATGGGGAAAAAAAACACAAAAAACCCACCCAAACTCCAGCCTGAGCAGAAAGGGGTGATGGGGCTGGGGGAGGATGGACGGACCATCCTGTCGGCCTCAGCTCAGCACATCTTGCTCCCCCCTCATCCTCCAAAAAAAACCCAAAAGCCCATCTCCTCCCCCTCAGGGGAACGTAATGGTTCCGTTTTGGCACATTACACCGCTTGCGTGTGCTGGAGAAATGACGAAAACAAGCACTTAAGTGCATTAAAGCCTTTTGTTCCTCTCCTCATTCTTTCCATTTCCTCTGAAAACCACGAGCGCAGCCGAGCTGGAAAAGCAAGAAAAGGAAAAACGCAGCCCCAAGCCCATTTCCTCAATTTTCCTCCAACCCACGGCTCCTGAAACCTTTCCTAAGCACCGTCTGGCCTCGACACGCCCCAGCACTGAACTCCCAAGCACAAACGGAGCCAGGTCAAGCTTAAACACCGAGGAGGCAGGCGAGTTTTTCCCTAAATCTGAGCTTTTCAGAGCAAATCACGGGGAGACAAAAGCCTGAAGGGCAGGAACATCCGAGTCTGGAGGGTGACTAAAGCCCTTCATGCTCCTCCGCAGTGGCCAGCACTGGAAGCGGGGCAAGTGCTGGGACCCTGTCCGGGAACCAGTGTGGGATGAAAAGTAAAACCTGATAATGAGAATAATTAAGCTGGTTCCACCCCTTTTTCCCAGCCCGCTGGCACCTGTCAATAAACCAGCGTGAAACTGGCCTGGTGGTCAAAATACACGTCCCCCTCCAGAAGGAACGCGCTCCCATCGTTCCCTTTTTTCGGCGAAATCTGGGGCAGGGATGGGGCCGGCACCTCCCCTCCGAACAGCCCGCCCCTTCCACTTTTTCTCCTCTTTTTTTTTTAATGTTAAAATGGCCGATCTCTGAATCCACCCAGGGGTTTTGGGCCGATTCCCGGCGGTTCGCTAACGACAGCAGCAATTAGGCTCACGCGCCTGAGCCGGACTTGCAGGGATTAGGCGGCATTAAGCAGCGTGTGTTACGGAAAGGGAAGGTTTGGATGCAGGGATCCTGCTGGGAAAGGTGTGTTTTAATTCCCCAAAGCTTATTAATCCTGTCCCCGCGAGT